CACCTATAGTCCCAGCTACTCAGGAAGCTGAGGCCAGAGAATCACTTGAACCTGGGAGGTAGAGGTTGCAGTGAACTGAGAGTGTGCCACTGCACTCTAGCCTGGGCGACAGAGTGAAACTCTGTCTCAAAAATTAAATAAAAATGTATATAAAGCTTCACTTAGCCGGGTGACTGACTCACCCACGAAAGACAGCAAATGTTATTTCCCCTCCCCTTCCTGGTACAGAATGGCATGGGAGTAGAACTTTGGGAAATGAACTTGACAATAGATTCCCTCGGGTTTGTTTGCTTGAGACAGGGTCTCCTGTCACCCAGGCTGGAGTACAGTGGTGCAATTAGGGCTCACTGCAGCCTCAACCTCCCAGGACCAAGCAATCCTCCCACCTCAGCCTCCCAAATAGCTGAGACTACAGGCATGCAACAACACAGCCAGCTAAATTTTTGTAATTTTAGTAGAGATGGGCTTTTACTGTGCTGCCCACGCTGGCCTCAAACTCCTGGACTCAAGCAATCCTCCTCCCACCTCGGCCTCCAAAAGTGCTGGGATTACAGGTGTGAATCACCGTGCCACACCTGTTATAACGTTTCTAGGACTCCTTTTCTCTAGTTGGTGATCAAAATATCCATGGCGTAGTGGAAAGAACCTTAAAGTAAGACAGTCTATTTCAGTCTCAACCTTGCCTCTTACTAGCTATGTACCTTATATCACCTAATACCTGGTTTCCTCATCTGTTAACAATACTAACATTTCTAACTTCCAAGGCTGCTGTAAAGATTCAGACCATGCACTTGAAGTGCCCAGAACACAGTGTTTGTGATGGTAATTTTTATTAGCCAGTCTAATGACTGGGTTTTAAAATGAAAGATGACGTGTCACACCCAGCTCTGAATTATAGTGTTTGTGCTTGTCTGATAGTTACATCTCCTAAGACGAGGACCCTCTCAGTCTCTGCATGGCAGACAGACTGTAAGGGTATATGGGAGGAAGGTATGGAGGGCCTGATGGCCCATGTACAGCCTATTTAATCTTACAGAGTCAAGCGGAATCCTAGCTCCCTGATCCCAAACGATTTAAGACAGCTAAGCATTTACTCAACAATAGCTTCATTATCAAGAATCCTACGCCTTCCCCCAACTCAAAGAAATGGACTTTTGAGCAGGGTTTGAGTAGCTACTGGAAATCTGAAGCAATAGCAACAATAATTTTTTTTGGCGGGTGACAGAGTTTTTGCTCTCGTTGCCCAGGTTGGAGTGCAATGGTGCAATCTCGGTTCACCACAACCTCCGCCTCCCAGGTTTAAGCGATTCTCCTGCCTCAGCCTCCTCAGTAGCTGGGATTACAGGCAGGCGCCTGCACGCCTGGCTAATTTTGTATTTTTAGTAGAGACGGGGTTTCTCCATGTTGGTCAGGCTGGTCTCGAACTCCCCATCCTCAGGTGGTCTGCCCACCTCGGCCTCCCAAACTGCTAGGATTACAGGCGTGAACCACCGCGCCCGGCCAGCAACAATAAATTTAAACATCCCTTTTCAAGTATAATTTCTTCCATTCTAAGTGAAAACATTAAAAACACTGAAAGTGTCCTCAGAATGGGATGTGTCGTATTCATTTTCTTTCTAGTCTCAACCCAAACAGCATGGCAGTTAAGAGAACCAGGGAGTGGGCCGGGCGCGGTGGCTCAAGCCTGTAATCCCAGCACTTTGGGAGGCCGAGACGGGCGGATCACGAGGTCAGGAGATCGAGACCATCCTGGCTAACCCGGTGAAACCCCGTCTCTACTAAAAAATACAAAAAACTAGCCGGGCGAGGTGGCGGGCGCCTGTAATCCCAGCTACTCGGGAGGCTGAGGCAGGAGAATGGCGTAAACCCGGGAGGCGGAGCTTGCAGCGAGCTGAGATCCGGCCACTGCACTCCAGCCTGGGCGACAGAGCGAGACTCCGTCTCAAAAAAAAAAAAAAAAAAAGAGAACCAGGGAGGATCTGAATGCTACTCCAGATGCACCAATTTTGCCATGACCTAGAAAGCTATTTCATTTCTCTGGACTTTAGTTTCTCGTGCTGTAACATTGCAATGACCCCTTCTTAACTATTTGAGAAAGTTATCTTGACAAGTTTTAAAACGTTTTAAGTAGAACTGGGAAAAAAAAAAAACCATGCAGCAGTGAAGACTTCCAAGCTTATGCCACATGTAATTTATAGCTCCCTCTTAGGTCCTCTCAAAGAGCCTCATTTATTATTTATGTGGCTGACATCCTTTTTTCTTTTTTTTTTTTTTGAACCGAGTCTCATTCTGTTGCCCAGGCTGGAGTGCAGTGGCACAATCTCGGGTCCCTGCAACCTCCGCCTCCTGGGTTCAAGTGATTCTCCTGCCTCAGCCTCCCTCATAGCTGGGATTACAGGTGCCAGCCACCATGCCCAGCTAATTTTTGTATTTTTAGTAGAGACGGGGTTTCACCATGTTCATCAAACTGGTCTCGAACTCCTAATCTCAAGTGATCCACCCACCTCAGCCTCCCAAAGTACTGGGATTACAGGCATAAGCCACTGCACTCGGCCTATGTGGCTAATATTAATCATGCATGTCCATACTTCCCCATACCTCATTCCCAAATACGGTGCCTTACACACAAAGAACTTAAGAGTTAAATTTAAACATATAACCCAAATCCTACGCTTAAAAAACGAGGGAGCTGAACCTCAAAGGTGGCATGACTTGCCAAGGCTCCCCAGGCCCCCCAGAGGGCCGTTAAAATTCTGAATAAATCTTGGGTGGAAGCTGTCCTCTGTAGCTTACCAGCTGTATAAATTCTCAAGATCCACAACCTTTACACTTTAGCTTCCTCATCTGTGAAGTGGGACGAAACCTTTCAGAAGACAGCTGTGAAATGTAAATGTAAATGCTTTAGCAACTGCAAAGGACATTTCAAATGGAAAAGCGACCGGACATGGTGGCTCATGCCTGTAATCCCAGCACTTTGGGAGTCTGAGGTGGGAGGATCACTTGAGGTCAAGAGTTCAAGACCAGCCTGGCCAACATGGTGAAACCCCATCTCCACAAAAATACCAAAATTAGCCAGGCATGACAGCGGGTGCCTGTAATCCCAGCTACTCAGAAGGCTGAGGCAGGAGACTTGCTTGAACCTGGGAGGCACAGAGTGAGCTGAGATCGTGCCATTGCATTCCAGCGCATTCCAGCCTGGGTGACAAGAGACTCCTATCTCAAACAAAAAAAATGTAAGAGCAATTATTTGTGTGTGTGTATGTGTGTGTGTGTGAGGAGAGAGAGACACACACAAGGTCTTGCTGTCTCCCAGGCTGGGGTACAGTGGCACAATCACGGCTCACCGCAGCATGGACCTCCTGGACTCCATCCTCCCACCTCATCTTCCCAGGCAGCTGGGACTACAGGCGCACACTACCACAGTCCGGCAACCTTTTGTCTACATGTTTATCAAAACCAAGTGTCTTAGCCATGTAAAGCTTGTTGACTTTCAAACACCTGACCTACTAACTGAAGTGAAACTCAATAACCACTTTATCTTAAAATTAGGTCAACTTGAAACAGGCTTCCTGAGCAGTGTTCATCGGCACATGGGGGGCTCATACTCTACTTCAAAATAAGAAAATAGGTTAAACTTACATGCTTACAAGCTATGTGCTCCACAAAATCAAGGACAGAGATTGTGTCATGGCCATTTCCATCAGTCTAATGCCAAACTTTAGTCAAGGAGGTGTTTAAGGCTGGGCACGGTGGCTCACGCTTGTAACCCCAGCACTTTGGGAGGCCAAGGTGGGCGGATCGCACGAAGTTAGGAGTTTAAGAGCAGCCTGGCCAACATTCAAAACCCCATCTCTACTAAATATATATAAATTAGCCTGGTGGCCGGGCACGGTGGCTCAAGCCTGTAATCCCAGCACTTTGGGAGGCTGAGGTGGGTGGATCACGAGGTCAGGAGATCGAGACTACTAAAAATACAAAAAAAAAAAACTAGCTGGGCGTGGTGGCGGGCGCCTGTAGTCCCAGCTACTTGGGAGGCTGAGGCGGGAGAATGGCGTGAACCCGGGAGGCGGAGCTTGCAGTGAGCCAAGATCCAGCCACTGCACTCCAGCCTGGGAGACACAGCCAGACTCTGTCTAAAAAAAAAAAAAAAAAAAAAAAAAATTAGCCTGGTGTGGTGGTGGGTGCCTGAAATCCCACCTACTCAGGAAGCTGAGCCATGAGAATGGCTGGAACCTGGGAAGTGGAGGCTGCGTGAACTGAGATCATGCCACTGCACTCCAGCCTGGATGACACAGCGAGACTCCGTCTCAAAAAAACAAACAGAAAAAGGTGTTTAAGGGTTCTGTGTTACTGAACCAACTTACCTAACAAACATGTTTATTCCTAGGTGCCACTCTGGAGGTGATAAAAATCGTGAGATGCAGGAAACCACCTCACTCAAGAACAGTCGGCCAGTGATGCCGAGTCTCAAGAGAGACACCTTGGGGGCAAGCAAGTATTTAAGGGGTAGGTTAGGCTTTTTCTTTTAACTCAGTGAGGTTTGCTTTTCTATTTTAAAGAATACTAACCATTTAACAATAATCACTAAAGATTTCAGGGATGCAAGTTGTGCCCCTAATATTTTATTACATTAAGAAAATTTGAGGACATGTATAAGCTCAGTATTTACCTTCAGCGTTAAATACACTCTCAAGTTAAACAGAGACCACAGCCTTTCAGAGGTGCTATACTGTGGAAGACTGCATTTTGTTCTGTGAGGCTCATTAAAAAGTACCAGTTACCAGGAAAACTGATAGGAAAGACTATGTTAGCTGGGTTCACAGAAAACTATTTAAAATCTATGAATCCTATGTATATGCTGCAAAATATGTAATGAAATCAGAGGGCAGGAAAACTTGGATAAAATACTACAAATGCTTTCATGTTTGAGAGATTCAAGGCACAGTTTGTGACTGGTTAAACAGTACCCTGAGAGGGAAAATCAAGAGCATACACAGAGATCATATCCCCAAAGCAGCATTTATTTACCCACTGAATTCCAAAACATTTATTTTAGAAGTCTGGCATTTCATAATCACCCATCTTGATTGACATGGGCTGACACACATGGCGCTGTCAGGATACACAAGGACAATAGCCAAAGAGTTACAAAAAATAAATCCATGATTCTTAAACAATCGCAACCAAAAAAAAAAGTTACAAGTATCAAAACTTTTAGATGCATTGCATTGAAAAGAAGGTTTGTGCACGTCATAATTTAAAGAGGCAAAAACAAGGCGCTACTGAAACCTCACGTTAAACAGTTTATTATAAAGCTGATGGAAAGGAGCAAGTTGTCTCTCTGTATCAGCTTCCCTTAACAGTTTTCCATTAGGTGAAGAAAGAGGTGGGAGGGGTGAATTCATTTTTGCATGCACAAGATGTACTGCTTAACGAAACACTATCAGCTTGTTTTAAATGGATCTTTTAAACATCAACTGTAGCCTGTGTTGGCTAATTCTTTCTAATCTCCCCCATTACTTTCGCCTAGATTTCCCATACATCAACAGGCATAGTAAAATGCCTCATCAGAACACACTTCTCCACACAATTCAAAAAGGGAGCTCCTGTGGGCTCAAAGCAACCGTCAGTCCAGCAATGCCCATGATTTATCTGAAACTGCTTCCCAAGAGACAGGAGTGCAGATCTGAGTAGCTGTGCTGCCAATACAGATAGGTTTAGCACTAGATATTTAGTGATTGTGGCAAGGAAGAATCGGTGATGATGGGGGTGGTGGGTGAAGGAAGGGCCAGGGGACCTGAAGGATCTTCAGTTGCCTTCTCCTGCTTCTTCATCCTGCTGGTCGCTCGTCCAGAGGGTGAGGTTGTCTCGCAGCAACTGCATGATGAGCGTGGAGTCCTTATAGGAATCCTCGTTTAGTGTGTCCAGCTCAGCTATGGCATCATCGAAGGCTTGTTTGGCTAAGAGGCAGGCTTGCTCGGGTGCATTCTGGATCTCATAGTAGAACACGGAGAAGTTGAGGGCCAGGCCCAGCCGGATGGGGTGCGTGGGCTGCATCTGCTCTTTGCTGATTTCAAAGGCTTCCTTGTAGGCAGCTTCAGAAGCTTCGACCACACTGTTTTTCTTCTCCCCAGAAGCGACCTCTGCTAAGTAGCGGTAGTAATCACCTTTCATTTTCAGGTAAAACACCTTGCTCTCATACTGGAAATCATTGCAGTTCTTGATCAGGAACTTGTCAAGCAGAGACAGGACATCATTGCAAACTGTCTCCAGCTCCTTCTCAATCTTCTCCCGGTAAGCTTTCACTTTCTCCAATTTCTTTTCGTTTCCATCAGCCATGGTTTTCTGCTCAATGCTGCTAATGACCCTCCAGGAAGATCGCCTGGCACCAACCACATTCTTGTAGGCCACAGAGAGGAGATTTCGATCTTCATTGGAGAGAGGTTCATTCAGCTCTGTCACCTGCAAAACCCCAAGAAGATAAACATTGAAAGGAAAATCTGAAAATCTTGGCAAGAAGCCTTCCCTTCAACATAATCAACAATCCTTCTCAAGAACAGGATTATGAACAAGTCAGTCACTCTGGAGAATAAAAACCACCCATGGACAAAACCAATATAGACATGAATCCTATGTGAAGAAAAGACTGTAGTCTAATAGAAGAGATAAATACTTGGCACCCAAAACAGAAAATCATAGGGGCTTGAGAAATTCATAAATGAGGTCTCATAAGATGTTGCTTTCATGTTGGTACAGGAATGGGACTCAGGATAATTATGAAAAGGTTGTACAGCAGCAGTACACAATGAAGAAAACCTCAAGCTTCAGCTACTCTGCAAAAGATACTCTGAACAGGCCGGGCGCGGTGGCTCATGCCTGTAATCTCAGCACTTCGGGAGGCCAAGGCGGGCAGATCATGAGGTCAACAGATCGATACCATCCTGGCCAACATGGTGAAACCCCATCTCTACTAAAGATACAAAAATTAGCCAGGCATGGTGGGGTGCGCTTGTAGTCCCAGCTACTTGGGAGGCTGAGGCAGGAGAATCGCTTGAACCCAGAGGTTGCAGCGAGCCAAGATTGTGCCACTGCACTCCAGCCTAGCAACAGAGTGAGCCTCTGTCTCAAAAAAGAAAAAGAAAAAAAAAAAAAAAAACTCAGAACAGTAAGATCATGCGGTCCCTTTGTCAGATGTTCAAAGACGACAGACTGGAAGTGTTCCAGACTCTGCTTCCAGCTTTACATTCTGGAAAGAACCAACCACTCCTCAAATACACATTAACAGGTGGTGGGGCTCCACAGATCAGATGAACATCACACAGATCCAGTGGCCAGAGCTTCACCCTGTGTGGCCACACATGGAACCCTGACTGATACTCCCAGCCCTCTCCCAAACCAAAATGAAGAAGAATTCATTAGTGACATGAAAGTGCCCCCAGCTCCAGGTGAAAAGAAGCACAGCTACTCAGCAGCAAGTTGTACTCTGACCTACCTCACAGGAAACTCTGGTCATCAAGGATGGAAGCATCAATTATTTTAAGTGGGAGAGTTAAATTTCACAAGCTTTAACTTCCCTTCGTTCTCCCTGATGCCAGCTACAAGTAAACTAGCTATGCAGTTAGTAGGAAGAGCATTATTAGACTTTGCAGTGGGTTGAACTGTGTCCCCCGCCAAAAGATATGCTGAAGTTCTGACCCCAGGCACCTGTGACTGTGACCTTATTTGGAAATAGGGTCTTTGCAGATGTAATTAGTTAAGATGAAGTCATACTGGATATTAGGGTGTGCCCTAAGTGCAATTACAGGTGTCCTTATAAGGATAGTGAGATTTGGACACACACACACACAGGAAGAATGCCATGTGACAGTGGAGGCAAAGACTGGAGTTATGCATCTACAAGCCAAGGAACACCAAGGGTTGCCAGAAGTCACCAGAAGCTGGGAGAGTGCCTAGGAAGGATTCTTCCCTAGAGCCTTCAGAGGGAATGTGGCCTGCCTACACCTCACTTTCAAACTTCTAGCGTCCAGAACTACGAGAGAATAAATTTATTATTTTAAGCTATCCAGTTTGTTGTACTAGGTTCAGCAACCCCTAGGAAACTGTTTAACAGAGTTTCCTAATAGAGTTCCTAATAGAGTTGGTCTGGGCCCAAGCACAGAAAATGACTTGCTAAATTGACCCAGGACATTTCACAAGCCCTTAAAAGATGGTGTGTCGTCTATAAAGTAGAGGGATTCCTTAGTATGACCTACTGGTAAAGGTCTTTAATTTTAACACTGAAAAAAAAAAAAAAAGGAAAGCAAAGCATTTAGGAAACCATAAAACACTAAACAAAAAAGGTATTACTTAAACCAGTCTGTAAGGACAGAACCTCCAATAGAGGGAAAAAGCCAAGTTCAATGGGGAAAGTTATCAATAGCATATTCAAATAGACACACTTAAAATGAATTGAGAAGACTGAGCAGTGGAGTATCAGAAATCCTGAACAATGATGGTTTATTTGGGGAATTAGTGGTTCAAGGACATAAGCAGCAAGTGTAATCATTATTACATGTAAAAATCAGAAAACTTGTGCCAAGTTCTTACAAAGTAAAACAAGCAATTGTCTGAGTCCTCCCTACCCCCAAGCCCCAGACAAAATAAAAATACCAGCTCACTCTTAATGTCTCCATTTCCCTGTCCCCAGAACCCCTACTCTTCTGCTACAAACATAGGATTAAGTCTCTCCTTTGCCTACCCATCAACCAAACCCCACTTCTTTCTTCAGTGTGGTCTTTGGCTAACAGCTATCCTCACCATTCCCAGGGGTGCCGCCTCCACTCCCGTCAAGCCAGGGTTCTCATTATTCATCCTCACATATTCATCAGTAGTCTCCATACCTCTCACTGTGATCCGCTCCAGTCTACCATGAATCTAAAATCAATGCTCCCCTTAAATCACGTTGAACACCTATAACCCGACTAGTTTCCTCCTCTAGTAAGTGCCTTTAAACACTTACATACATTTTCTTATGGAAAATAGACTTTGTAAATATTTAATAACTTAGTCTTTTTCTCCCCACATCAGAGGGTCATGTGTCTACATCGTAACAAGGTTTGAGGGTGGCACACCTCACACATGCATGTCAAAACCCAATCATCACACTTATGAACTACAAAAAGATGAATAACTACTTAGTCTTTTAAGGGAGCCACACTTCTAAATCAAAATTCCATCCCAAATATTCTGATAAATTTCAGAATGCTTGAATCCTCTAGAATGACTTGCATTTCTAGAGCAACATTTAATAAAGCATGAGACAATAACAGAATTTGGAGAGCTCCTTTGATCTTGTAGTAATTAAATCCAACTAAGGCCATTTGGCATTAAAATGCAAATAATATCCATAAGGAGTCACAATATACTTCCTCCTGTGACTAACAAAACTGCTTCTGTGAAACTGGCAAAGATACACCAAGGTAACTTCCCAGAGTATGTCATTTAAAGAGAGTGCATATCTGAAATACACGTATGTATGAGTGCTTGCATAACACAAAAGGCAGTATAATTATTAAACCCAAGACATCTGGAGTTTAGTCTGAGCTAGCTATGTGACCTTAAACAAATCACAACCTTTTTGGACATCAAAGGTAAAATAAGCAGGATTAGCCCAAATGATCTCCAAGGCCTCCTTCAGCTCCAACATTCCATGATTTCATTTTTCCTGTGCACCAATAAAAGGTGTGGCGCAGCATGATGAAGTTGATCCTACTAATGTGAAGTTTGGGTGTTATCTGTAAGAGTATTCTTTTCTCCCTCAGGACTGAACTGCCAAAAAGGCTACTGGGCAGTATTTATGACACCTTCACAAGAAAAATCATTTACTGGGAGTAGTAGTGTTTATGTAACAATCATCTGGTTGCCTGCCAGTCTGAATGAATCACTATCAGCATTAGCTGAGGGTGACTAACATATCTCAGCAAGCAAATATTGTTCCTCATACCCCAGCCAGGGCCTAACTAGGAAATAACTGGATATATTTAAATACAGTATTTTTTAATACTCCTGGGTTATAATTCAGTTGACAAAAGGAAACATGAAATGAAGATGGCTTACTACTTGAACAGATAACTAAAGAAATCTGAGTTTTTCCCAGACTGGAAAATTATAGACCCATGTAAAATCAGATGGTCCATTAAAACAAAAAGATTTATAGCCAATCTTGATAGATGATACTTAGAACCAGTTCCCAACACATCAAATACCAAAATACAGGCGCCAGGAGCACTAATGAAAAGTTCAGTCATACACTGTACTAACAGAGGCAAACACTGGGTGGCAACACAGAGTAATGGATGCTCTCCAGGTCCCAACCATGCCACCTATGACCAGCTGCAAAACCTAATGAAATGATTTATTGCATCTCTACAAATCAGGAACATGAAGCAAAAACAAGACATACAATTTTAGAGGCAGGCCTAGACAATAGTTTTCAGCCTTCTTTCCACTCTTTAACACCAGGATTACGACAGTCATTTCTGCCACATGGCACCTTCCCTCAGTGTAGCCACGCTGGGCACTGAGTCTTCAACTGGCCACAAACCAGGGGGTTTGCCACCTCTGCTCACAGCCTCTCTGCTTTCTAAGTGTCCTGATTGCCTTCCCACCCTCTGTAATCCTACTTACACCCTTCCTGAATGACAAACTTAAACTGATGAGCTCTTCCCATGCACAAAGGCCCTCCTCTCCATTTATTTTAAGGACTGGACTCCCTGCCAGCTAGTTTTACTAATGTCCTGACCAAACAGCCTTTGGCTACACCTAGTCCCCACCCCAAGGCACTCATTTCACATTTTCTCTGCTCCAGGACTACCCAACATTGCTAAATGTCAAAAATGACCTGGCCTGCTGATCATTCACTTATCTTCCTATGACACTATTCGTTTACCCAAAAACCCCTGCAGGCCTCCTCCCACTACTCACAAGGCAAACAACTATGTGTGTGTGAGTAAAAACAGATCCACCGCCAAAAATAGTACGGGGACTATTGAGGAAAATTTAAAGTTCTTAATCTTGGAAACACCCAACATCAAAAGTAACACTGAGCAAACAAAATGCCACCCCCAAGCTGCCAGGCCATAGCTGCCTAAGTTAGGGGTAATGTCACCTCACTCAAACATGCTGCCATCCTTCACAGCTCCACATATGCTATGGGCTCATCCTTTATAGTTACCCACATCTACACCAACCAACTTGCTTTTGATATGAGTAAGTAAATGATTCTCACGATTAAGTAAACATAACCACATCATAAAATCTTTAAGCTTCTTTGGAAGAAGTACGTGTGTACGTGTGTGTGTTAAAAGTGAGCTTGAGGAGCCAGGCATGGTGGCTCACACTTGTAATCCCAGCACTTTGGGAGGCCAAGGCAGGTGGATCACTTGAGGCCAGGGAGTAGGACACCAACCCAGTCAACATACAGAAACCCCGTCTCTACTAAAAATACAAAAATAAGCCAGGCAAGGTGGCGTGCGCCCGTAATCCCAGCTAGTTGGGTGGGACATGACAATCGCTTGAACCTGGGAGGTGGAGGTTGCAGTGAGCCAAGATTGTGCCACTGCACTCCAGCTTGGAGGACAGAGCAAGACACTGTCTCAAAAAAAAAAAAAAAAAAAAAAAGTGAGCTAGAGGGATGAAAACTTGCTGAGCTCTTTCCCAAGTTTATGCTTAGGAAGTGAGGATCTTGCCTGGCCTGGCCCCAAGCTGGCAAGATATCCACCAACAGACCAAGTCCTATGGGCCACTGTGCAAGAACATCGCCAGCCAGGGTCAGGCTGAGCCCCTTATCTTTATCAGGATGAGGCTGCAATTCTGTAACGCTACTATAGGCTAAACTTCAAGCTCAGAGCAGGCAAGTTCAGGTAAGTTACATCCACTCTAAGCTAAATTTTAGTCAAATAAAACAGCTGCCCTAGTATAGTCAAGAGACTGCCTTTGCCTTGCTTTTGACATAATTGAACATTTTCATGGGGACTGGCAAGGATTAAATATAACAGCATCTGAATGGCATTAGTGCATGCTACTGTCCCTAGAGGCATCAGAATTGAAGGCTTCAGAAGCTGTGCCAGGTTCGGATCATTGGAAGTGCCAACACTCACCACCGCAGAAAGGAATGCCACTGCAGCCAGGAGTAGGGTGGGAGGAACACCAAAATGCTGGGGCAGAAGACAAGCTGCCTCCACTTGGGACACTAGGAGGAATTTTACCAGCAACCTAGAGACAGAAATTTTGGGGCCTGCATAAAAATATACTAAAGGGTGCAGGGAGAAAAATACATTAAAGGCAATATGGAGAAACAACTGGTGTCAAGAATATGAAATAGGCCGGGCGCGGTGGCTCAAGCCTGTAATCCCAGCACTTTGGGAGGCTGAGACGGGCGAATCACGAGGTCAGGAGATCGAGACCATCCTGGCTAACACGGTGAAACCCCGTCTCTACTAAAAAATATAAAAAACTAGCCAGGCGAGGTGGCGGGCGCCTGTAGTCCCAGCTACTCGGGAGGCTGAGGCAGGAGAATGGTGTGAACCCGGGAGGTGGAGCTTGTAGTGAGCTGAGATCCGGCCACTGCACTCCAGCCTGGGCGACAGAGCGAGACTCCGTCTCAAAAAAAAAAAAAAAAAAAAAAAAAAAGAATATGAAATAATTTCTTAAAATACCCCAAATAAAATGTAACATAGTCCTGCACATCTTTTTTTTTAATTTTTATTTTATTTATTTATTTTTTTTGAGACGGAGTCTCGCTGTGTCTCCCAGGCTGGAGTGCAGTGGCGTGATCTCAGCTCACTGCAAGCTCCGCCTCCCGGGTTCACGCCATTCTCCCGCCTCAGCCTCCCAAGTAGCTGAGACTACAGGCGCCCGCCACCACGCCCGGCTAGTTTTTTGTATTTTTAGTAGAGACGGGGTTTCACCATGTTAGCCAGGATAGTCTCGATCTCCTGACCTCGTGATCCACCCGCCTCGGCCTCCCAAAGTGCTGGGATTACAGGCTTGAGCCACCGCGCCCGGCCAGTCCTGCACATCTTAACTCAGGAGAAACTCAAATTCAATACTTTGTTAAGGAAAAAAAAAAAAAAAAAAAAAGGCGGGGCGCAAAGGCTCACGCCTGTAATCCCAGCACTTTGGGAGGCCGAGGCAGGCGGATCACAAGGTCAGGAGATCGAGACCATCCTGGCTAACATGGTGAAATCCTGTCTCTACTAAAAAATACGGAAGTCCGGGCGAGGTGGCTCACACCCCTAATCTCAGCACTTTGGGAGGCCGAGGCGGGCGGATCACTAAGTTAGGAGATCGAGATCATTCTGGCTAACATGGTGAAACCCCATCTCTACTAAAAATACAAAAAATTAGCTGGGCATTGTGGTGGGCTCCTGTAGTCCCAGCAACTCGGGAGGCTGAGGCAGAATGGCGTGAACCCAGGAGGCAGAGCTTGCAGTGAGCCGAGATCACGCCACTGCACTCCAGCCTGGGCAACAAGAGCAAAACTCTGTCTCCAAAAAAAAAAAGTAAAATAAGTTCTATAAACTTGCTAAATGTAACACACATTAAAACAAAACAAAACAAAACAAAAAAACAGGCCGGGCGCAGTGGCTCACGCCTGTTATCCCAGCACTTTGGGAGGCTGAGACGGGTGGATCACGAGGTCAGGAGATCAAGACCATCCTGGCTAACACGGTGGAACCCTGTCTCTACTAAAAAAATACAAAAATTAGCTGGGTGCGGTGGCGGGCACCTGTAGTCCCAGCTACACGGGAGGCTGAGGCAGGACAATGGCTGAACCTCAGAGGCGGAGCTTGCAATGAGTGGAGATCACGCCACTGCACTCCAGCCTGGGCCACAGAGCAAGACTCTGTCTCAAAAAAAAAAAAAAAATTGGGGGTACCCTCTCCAAAACCATATTTCTGGAAAAGTGGGACACTGTAGTCTGTCACTAATATAAAATCCCAGACAAAGACCAACTAAAGAAAATCCCCAGCTCACGCCTGTAATCCCAGCACTTTGGGAGGCCGAGGCAGGTGGATCATGAGGTCAGGAGATCGAGACCATCCTGGCTAACACGGTGAAACCCCGTCTCCACTAAAACTACAAAAACTTAGCCAGGCATGGTGGCGGGCGCCTGTAGTCCCAGCTACTCGGGAGGCTGGGACAGGAGAGTGGTGTGAACCCGGGAAGCGGAGGTTGCAGTGAGCTGAGATCCCACCACCGCACTCCAGCCTGGGAGACAGAGCAAGACTCCGTCTCAAAAAAAAAAAAATCCCCATCAAAGAAAATACATTTTTGGTTTAAGGGAGTCAGTTCTGGCCTGTGGAAGTTCTTCTGGGGATAATTCAGGGACCCAAACCCACATGGGGACCACAGTTCCTACTTCAGAGCAAGAAAGCCATGTAAGCTGGTGGCCCACCTGAAAGACCCTTTAAATTCAAACTATTACAATTCCAGGGCCTTCTTCCCTCCTCCAAGACGATTACATTTTAAATGCCTAGTTAGTGGGAAACATAGCTCCCTAGTTTTTACATATTTCAAACTATAGTATCAATGTGGCTCTAAGATTTCATACTCATTGGGTGTGGTAGTTCACTCCTGTAATCCTAGCACTTTGATAGGCTGAGGCAGGAGGATTGCTTGAGACCAGGAGTTTGAAACCAACCTGGACACCATATAGAGACCTGTCTATACAACTTAAAAATTAGCTGGGCATGGTGGCATGCATCTGTAGTCATAGCTGCTCAGGAGGATCACTTGAGCCCAGGAGCTCAAGGCTACAGCAAGTTATGATAGTCCCACGACTGCACTCCAACCTGGGCGACAGAACGAGACCATCTCTTTAAAAAAAAAAAAAAAAAAAACATACTAATCACAATTTTGGTACACCTCAAAATCCTCCTACTGTGACACTGATCTGTCTCACCTGGGGCAGTCAGCTGTGCACTTTTACACAGCACCTGCTCATTTCCCCACTTCCCAGAATCTCACAGCTGTTGCAACAACAGCCTTTTGCCAGTAGTTGGGCCAAGTGCCCTTCCTCTCCGACTCCTGTTTCCTTAAACTGTAGTTTTGTTTCCTGCACTTAAGATTTCTATATATATATTCTGCAAGTACTTCAAATGTGTTTCTCCCCGTTTTCTGTCAACACTGTAATCAACTGATTTATCAGTGTTAAAACACCATGCTATTCCAGTAATTTTTACATTTGATAACTTCACAATTACCACCTATGTTTTAATATAAAATAGATTACTTAGGGCCATAAGACATGATGAAATTATGTCTATGAATATCCAGAAATCTATCTGGTTATTTTCCCTCTTTCCTTAAATCACTTAGTTTTCCGGACTAACATTTAATCCCACTTTATAGGTTTATTTCAGTTATCAAACGGTACTTACAGAGACTACAAATTGGGTAAGGTCATTCAAAGCCTAGCCTCGAAAGGACTTAGGTTCTACAATCTTTCACAATGTTTCTTCCCACTATTATACTCTATGCAAGCTGGTAGGTATAAGATAAAGAGAGCTTGAAGATACTCCTTTATGCTTCACTTCAGAAACATTTCTTGCTTCTTCAAATTATGGAGAGAAGCAGGGAAGAGAAGTTCTCAACAGGTTTGAGGCAAGACCATTGTTTCCAATATGCACGATTTTTCTTCAAGCTTACCAACACTGTCCTCCAGGTGACGCTGGTAGAATAAGGAACATCAATCATTACAGGAAGGCAATATTATCAGGTGAGCATTTTAATTGTGAAGGAAACAGAAAGCAAGTTAGAAGACCGAAGGCAAAACTGACTTGTTAATAACATCACTACTTTTATACTTCAGAGGACCTAAAGCCAAGATTAAGTTTCAAGGTTACAGAGTGGTGGCATCAGAATATATCCTCAACACAGGTGTCCTGCTCCATCCTCCCTACAACAGGCTACTTACCTCCACAGCTCTGAACAAAGCCCAGGTAAACCCAGAGGGTTACTGAAATTTACACCTTTTCCAAAAGAGATTAATAAAATAGAGACTGAGTCATCCCAGTAACATTAAGAATTTAATCTACAAACACCAATTTAGCAGGGAAAGTGACTCCTGCCAGTCCTTTCCAACATATTATTTTTCTTTTAAAGAAAATATCTATAAGCACAATATATTACATTGAGATGATGGAGGAGAAATGGTTTATCACAATTCTGAGATGGCAGAATTAAAGCTTGGATTGACTCTTCAATGCTGGCTGGCTTTTCCAACTCATTATTTCAAATATAGATATTATAGATTCCTTTGGTTTACAAAAGGCTACCTTAACCCTCCAGAGAAGATCTATGGACACTAGTAGCTAGCTGCAGGAAAGCATTTTACAAGCCTACTAGAAAGCCAATCTTTTTCTCTACTCAAACTAGATTTTGTTCTGGTAACATCTCTCCATTCTTGCCTTTTTCCCCCATTTCAAGTTGCTTCAGGTTTCTGATTGTTTCAGAACGCACCTTCTAGCCATTTTTCCTTCACCTCCATTCCCCTTCATTTAAACCTTGTCCCTCCTTTCTTTTCACCACATTTATTTCCCAAAGGGCTCCTAACACTGCAGTCTTTACGTCTCACTTAAGAGGGTGAGCAACCACTTCATGAAAATGTGTGGCGAGGCCTCAGCCTGCATAATCCCAGCACCACTCAGTAACTGGGGAGGAGAGTTTTAAGTGTGACCTGCTGTGGACAGAGGCAGCTTTATCCCAAAGAAAATTAAGGTTCGGGATCCCTTCCAAGGAAATGCATTCAGTCAGTCCCATTTCTGTACAATATGCAAAAATTATATTTTATATTTTCTTTTAAAGGACCCCCTGAATTACATGAAGTTCAGCCTCCAGACCTAGACGGCCCCCCGGTTTGGAAGAAAACCTCCTGCCTCACCAAAACAGCATGCTAATAGTGCTGAAGTCAAGATCACCCACAAATCAACATACGGGCAACAGTGTTGCTGGTCTCCAAACACACCCAGTTGTGTGTAACAAGGACACCACAGGAAAGGCAACTCTTCAAGTACCTTTCTTACCTGAACAATCCTAAATATTAGCCCCAACTACATATTTTGTCTGACATTAAGGTCAACAGCCTTCAAATGAGCTTTCCAAATGACTTAAGATTTTAGGGAGCCTTTGTATTTGCAGTTTTTTCGCAACTCCCTCCAAAAGGCCAGCAAAGGATACATTTACTATAGTCATGGGCAGTAATTCTCAGACTTAAGCCAGCTAAAAATCGCCTGTGAGAGCTGGTTACGATGCAGATATGAGTCTCACCCCCGAATTTCTGCATCTGTAGGTCTAAGGCGGGGTTCAAGGGGCTCCTCCCAGGTCTCAGGAGGTTGTACACTGAACATAGCAGGATGGTGGCCGCAGCTGTAGTTCTATCACTGTGTGACCTTGACACAGTGAGAGGAAATACTCATTTAGAGAAAACGTAAAATAACGTGAAGAGTGAGTGAGATGGTAACCGGAACTCAGAAATGCAGGTGGTGTGTGACCCACGGTATTTTGCTAGGGTGTGGCTGGGCACGACTCCTCCACCGGAGAAGAAGCTGCAGAATCGATTTATGAGGGTCTCGGGAATGCAAAGGCACACAGATTAGTCTCACCTAGAAGTCACGTTTCATTTTAATCTCCAGGCAGACAGCGCAGCAGCAAACCTGGGGCTGTGATGGGCCCCACACCCTCCGCCCCCTCTCTCGCCCTCGTCCACGCCTAGACTGCAGGAAAGGGGTCTTCGCACACAAAGCCAGACCCCCAGGAGTGGGAAGATGAAACCAGAACAATTCGAACAAGCAGAGCAAAACAGATCGGAATTACAGACTTCAGGACGTAGCAGAGAAAACCAGCTGAGACAGGGCGCCACTCACTAGGTGATTCTTTATTCCAAGTCGGGGAACGGAGGAAGACGAGAGGGGGGGCCCCCGGGTCCGGTGAAACGCTCTAGTAGGAGGAATGCGGCTCCTTCACGACCCCTAGGGCACCCTTTGCCCCCGCCCGGGATCCGAACTAAGATGTGGCGACCCCGGCCCGCCCGCCCCCAACGGGGCTGCCGCCGCGACCCCGAGATGCACCCTCCCGGATCCCCCAGCCCGGGCCCAGCCTCAGGAAGTGGCGGGGCGCCCAGCGGGAGCGGGAAGCGCGGGCGGCCACGCCCAGCCGGGTCGTGGGGTCGCCCATGGCCGGGAGGGGAACGCCGCCCGCGGCCATCCCCGTCCCTCCCCAAAGCCAGGCCTCCCCGGCCAGCCGCCTGGGCTCCCGGCGCGCTCACCGCCTTCATGGCGGAGGCCATGTCGTCGTAGCGCTCCGCCTGCTCGGCCAACCGCGCCCGCTGCAGCAGCTGCTCCCGGTCCCCCATGTCGCTCGCGGCTCGGCCTCGCTTCGCGCCTCACGCCGCTGGCTCGCTTGCCCGCCCGCCGGTCAGTCCGCTCCCCGGTCGCTGCGGAGGCCGCCGCCGCGCACGCGCACTGGCTCGCCGGCCGACCCGGAGGCTGCAGGCTGCAGGCAGCGCCGCCGCTCGCGCCCTCTCGCTGGCTCGCCCCGCGCGCTGTGGCTCGCGCCGCGGACACCGCCGAGGGAGGAGAGGCGGTCGCGCTGGGGGATGGGAGGACGAAACGACGCCTGCGCAGTGAGAGTGGCCAGGCCGGGCGGCGGGGAGCGGCTGGAGTGGGAGGGGGGAAGGGCGGGCCGGCCCTAACGGTCTATTTCAAGGTGACGTCACCTACTATAAATAGCCACCGCCGCCGCCGCCCCGCTTGAAAGCCGCGCAGGCGCTCTGCGAGTGCTGCATTTTACCGCCGCAGAGATGGAGGTGGAGAAGGGAAAGCCAGGCAGGAGACTGCGGAGCCGGAGGAGGCGGCGCGGTGATGGCGGCTGCACGGGGAGTGCATTGTCATAGCGCCACCCTGAAACGCACCACTTCAACCACGTTAGCGATGTGGCTTGAGAAGGGCCCCAAAAGCAAGCAAACCTACCCGCGGAGAAGCCGGGAGGCCGCGTGCCCCAAGGGGCGGGTCAGCCCAGCCCCGCCCCGCCCCAGCCGTCCCGCCCGCCCCGAGCCCTGCCTGTCCGTGGGTTCTGCTAGGCCACACCCTGTGCTTGGGTCTGCACTGGTCCGGGCAGAATCGAGTCCGACCCTCGGGGACGGCCCCGCCACACACACAGACACATGCAGTCGCACACATCCTGAGACATAGCCTTGGGCAGGCTTGTGCCTTCCACCAGAGGGGACTGGATGACCAGGCCGAGACAAGTAATATTCAGGACACATTAGGAGCCAGCCCAGGGCTAGTCCCGTACGAGCATTCTCCTCTTTAATCCTCACTACCCAGCCCACGTGGACACAGCTGGTCTCCCCATATTTAAAATGTGGAACCTGAGGAAAAGCAAGGTAGTGACTTGCTCAAGTTTACACAGCCTGTTAAGTGGTGGTGGGGCCAGGATCTGAGTCCAAACCCAGGCTGGACTTCCTCTTGTGGCAAAGAGCTGGGGTGGCCCAACTGGCTGGTCACTGAGCCCCTCCCAATCCTGGCTGGCATTGGATACTGAGGGTTCCTTGTGCCAGGCCCTGGGCTGGGCTGCCCGACAAGCTAGGAATATAATGCTTAAAACAGGGCCCCAACTGACTTCCAACATGCCAAAGGCAGTGTAGGAGAAGGGGCCTTGGGCTCGCTGAGAATTTACTGAGCATCTACTGCATGCTCAGCCCGCAGGGATAAGCTGGATCTTGGAGTAGAGTCAGGAAAGAGATTAAGGCCTGGGGTACAGCATGGGCAAAGGCTTGGCAGTGACCTGGGAGATGGTGAGAAGAGAGGCCTAACAATGGGAAGTGAGGTTGGGTAAAACAAGATTACGGAATGTTTTAAATGCCAGGTGGAAGATTTGAGGCTTCATCCTTAGGTAATTGAGAAGCCATATATCAGGCCTGGAATCTTGCTCTAGAGAGTAAGACGTGTTTGAAAGGAGAAGGGAGGGAACTGGAGACTAGGCCGTTTCTGGACTTGTTTTCCATCTGGAGAATTAGACTTAACTGTTTCAAGGACTAAAGAATAGATATCCACATGCTGGAATGTCAGAGCTGGCAGGACCCTTAGAATCACCCCTATCTAACCCCTTGTCCTGAATAAGGGGAAACTGAGGTCTGAGGGAAAGGAGGGGCTGGCCCTAGTTTGCACAGCGAGTGACCAGAGCTGGGGCCTCCATACCAGGTCTCTTGCCTCCCAGGCCTTCCTCTTCCTGCTGTGATGCTAAAACGATCACACTTTTGGGGGCCCATGAAACAGGATTTGAATGTGGGCCTGGGAGGAGGCACCCACCCCAGGCTTCACCATGCTTTGAAGAGTCACCTTTGCTGTTGGAATCGAGGTTAACAAACCAGTCTGATCTTTCCCCTAGTGAATATATTTAAAGAGCATTCTAGATAGTAATGAATCATCCACTCCACCCCCCAGAAGGATGGGGTCCCAGTGAGAGGTGGGAGGAGGGCCAGCCCTGGATGGGGGCACCTCCTCAGTTCCTTCTAGCTCTTAGAGGGCTTAGAACCCTTCCAGCTTTTCTGATCAGGTTGGACTAAGATTGATTTCAAAACAGTGAAAATTAGGTAGAGCTGGAACATTCTAAATAATTGATTTCTGACATGTGTAAATGACACTCTGGTTCTCCCATGAAGCTTTTCTTCTCACCAAACTTCCCCATCTCCTCTTCCTCACTTCCTACCCACCCATCAGCTCAGTGTGCTCTGGCCCTGTCCCCACTCCTCCAGTGTGGCCACCAGAGCCCTCCTTGTTGTCAAAGCCAAGGACGCTTCATAGTGCCCACCTCCCTGGCCCTCTTGGCTGGACTGGGCATGACTGCTCACCCTTCCTTGACCGGCTCTCCCAGCTTCCCTTCTGCTGCTCCAGCCATTACTCTTCTATTTGCTATGTGGGCTTGTCTTCTAGTCTACCCGGAAATACTAGGGTTCCTCAGGGCTTTGTCCCGAGCCCTCTTCACACACTGCCTTATCCTTGGTGACCCCATCCTCATGCACTCTAAGGAACCATCTACCACATTCCTAGCACCAAGCAAGGTGCTTTGCAGAACTGGGCATTTTTTTTTCCCTCAAGATACCCCTGTAAGGCTGGTCCGATTTCCTTTCCTGTTTTTTTGTTTGCTTGCTTTTCTGTTTTGTTTTGTTTTAAGATAGAGTCTCACCCAGTCACCCAGGCTGGAGTGCAATAGTACTCTCTTGGCTCACTGCAACCTCTGCCTCCCAGGTTCAAGCGATCCTCCTGCCTCAGCCTCCCAAGTAGCTTAGATCCTCAGGAGGCTAAGGCAGGAGGATTCCTTGAGCCCAGGAGGTTAAGGCTACAGTGAGCTATGATTATGTCACTTCACTCCACTCTGAGTGACAGAGGGAGACCCTTTCTCAAAAAACAAAATAGTTTATTTTAAAAAGCTACAAGGGCTACAAGGCGCACACCACCACGCCCAGCTAATTTTTTCAGAGAAAATTATTTAAACTCTTATGCTTCATCTGTTAAATGTATTTTTTAGTCTTTTTTTTTTTTTTTTTCCCCTGAGAGATAGAGTCTAGCTCTGTTGCCCAGACTGGAGTGCAGTGGCACAATCTTGCCTCACTGCAATCTCTGCCTCCCGGGTTCAAGCAATTCTCCTGCCTCAGCCTCCCAGGTAGCTAGGACTGCAGGCATGTACCACCACACTCAGCTAATTTTTTTGTGTGTATTTTTTTTTTTTTTTTTTGAGACAGAGTCTCGCTCTGTCGCCCAGGCTGGAGTGCAGTGGTGCGATCTCCGCTCTCTGCAAGCTCTGCCGCCTCCTGGGTTCACGCCATTCTCCTGCCTCAGCCTCCCTAGAAGCTGGGACTACAGGCGCCCGCCACCACGCCCGGCTAATTTTTTTGTATTTTTAGTAGAGACGGGGTTTCACCGTGTTCACCAGGATGGTCTCGATCTCCTGACCTCATGATCCGCCCGTCTCGGCCTCCCAACGTGCTGGGATTACAGGCGTGAGCCACTGTGCCCGGCCTTGTGTGTATTTTTAATAGAAACAAGATTTCACCATGTTGGCCAGGCTGGTGTCTAACTCCTGACCTCAAATGTTCCTCCTGCCTCAGCCTCCCAATGTGCTGGGATTATAGGCGTGAGCCACTGCGCCCAGCCAATTTCTTTAATTTGTTTAATAGAGCTAGGGTTTCGCCATGTTGCCTATGCTGGTCTTGAACTCCTGAGCTCAAGCTATCCACCCACCTCGGCTTCCCAAGTGCTGGCACTACAGGCGTGAGCCACTGAGCTCGGCCTCCTTTCCTGTTTTACAGAGAAAGAAACTGACACAGAGCTGTTCCATGGTTTGAACAAAGTCACACAGCTGGGAATGGGCAAAGCAAGGATTCAAACTCAGGTCCGTCAGACGCCCAAGTCTGAGGGCCTCACACTGCCCCCTGATGTCAGCTGAGAAGAGCTCAAAGTGTGACTCCCCTGTTGGGGTCACTCAGATTATACAAAGAATACATAAGCCTCCCACCGAGCATCCCACACACTCTTACCAGCACCCATCTTCTTTGCCCTTAGGAGAGAGTTGCTAACGCCCAAGAGCCTCATCAGTAAAAACCAGGGTCACCACCTGGGACAGGTCACCTATTCCTAAGGCTATACCTCCTATCGATAAACAGGGCCTTTGAACAACTTCAAAGAGAGCGCCTGAGCGAGCTGAGGGAGGTCAATGGTTAATGTCAAACACACTTTGTTGCCTCAGGGCTCAGAGCAGGTCCCCACTAGAGGAGCCAAGTCTGTGTCTTCTCCTAGTGCAGGGTATCATTCGGGGAACAGAACAAAATCCCCCTGGGTTCCTGAACACACGTGTGTGGTGTGATTTGAGAAAGAACATGGTTCTTGTCTTGGGTTCAAATCCTACTCTGCCAGTGCACCAGCTGAGGACCCTCAGGCAAGTCACTTGTAAAAAGGGATCAATAGCCTGGCACAGTGGCTCATGCCTATAATCCCAGAGCTTTGGGAGGCTGAGGTGGCAGGATCACATGAGGCCAAGTGTTCAAAACCAGCCTGGGCAACATAGCAAGACCCCAGTTCTACAAAAAACAAAAACAAAATACACACACACACACATATACACACACACATACACACACACATATATGCTTACATATATATGATATACTTTTATATATTATATATTTATATATATAATATATGATATGACCCCAGTATCCTTTTGCTGACACAAAATCTCAACCCCTGTGTCTTAACTAAGAGCATCCTGAGCGCAGAGATTTCAGGATCATCTAGAGCCTTCCACCCCCTTTCAAAGCCCGCCTTGGAAGCAAACCAACACCCAAGGCAGCTTTTGGCCTTAAGAAGTGCGAAATGTCCTGCATATATTATACATCATAATTCATATATTATGATATATTTATATCATATATAAATATATATATAAATATATAAATATATATAAATATATATAAATATATAAATATATATAATAATATATATATTATATATATTTATTATTATTAAATATATAAATATATTTATATAACATATATAATATGTGTATATATATTTTATATATATAAAAAAAACCTATATATATATACACACACACACACACACACACACACACACACACACACACACACACAAGGGGTTTTTTTTGTGTTTTTTTTTAATGGAGTTTCTCTCTGTCACCCAGGCTGGAGGGCAGTGGCATGATCTCGTCTCACTGCAACCTCTGCCTTCCAGGTTCATCAAGCAATTCTCCTGCTTTGGCCTCCCAAGTAGTTGGGACTACAAAAAATATTTTTAAAAAAGAAAAACTTAGGCCGCGCGCAGTGACTCACGTCTGTAATCCCAGCACTTCGGGAGGCCGAGGCGGGCAGATCATGAGGTCAAGAGATCAAGACCATCCTGGCCAACATGGTGAAACCCTGTCTCTACTAAAAATACAAAAAATTAGCTGAGCGTGGTGTTGGGCGCCTGTAGTCCCAGCTACTTGGGAGGCTGAGGCAGAAGAATCGCTTGAACCCGGGAGGCAGAGGTTGCAGGGAGCCGAGATCGCACCACTGCACTCCAGCCTGGCGACAGAATGAGACTCCGTCAAAAAAAATAAAAGAAAAACTGGCCAGCCGCAGTGGCTCATGCCTGTAATCCCAACCCTTTGGGAGGCCAAGGTGGACAGATCACCTGAGGTCAGGAGTTTGAGACCACCTTGGCCGACATGGCAAAACCCCGTCTCTACTTAAAATACAAAAATTGACAGGGTGTGTTGGCATGTGCCTGTAATCCCAGCTACTCAGGAGGCTGAGACAGGAGAATCGCATAAACCTGGGAGGCGGAGGTTGCAGTGAGCTGAGATCATGCCATTGCACTCCATCTAGCATGGGCAACAGAGTGAAGCTCCATCTCAAAAAAAAAAAAAAAAAAAAAAAGCCAGGCATATTGACTCACGCCTGTAATCCCAGCACTTTGGGAGGCCAAGGTGGGTGGATCACCTGAGGTCAGGAGTTTGAGACCAGCCTGACCAACATAGTGAAACCCCATCTCTACTAAAAATACAAAAATTTAGCCGAGTGTGGTGGCCGGCACCTGTAATCCCAGCTACTCGGGAGGCTGAGGCAGGAGAATCGCTTGAACCCCGGAGGCAGAGGTTGCAGTGAGCCAAGATCACGCCATTGCACTCCAGCCTGGACAACAAGGCTCAAAAAAAAAAAAAGAATTCTTCACCTGCATCCCACCCAGAGCCAGTGGTCAGGACTGCTCTTCACGTGGGACTGCATTTCTAAAGCGTTGCCAGAACCCTCCACCAGAGCCCAGTGAATAGATGACCCAGAAAAGGCACGTCCTGGTTTTTTTTTTTCCCCCCTCTTGGATACTCTGAGACACTCTGAGCTGCTGAGAAGTCTGCACACCAAGGGACCTATTACAAAGGAGACATGATATTGTTCTGGAGAGATGGCGTTTGCAATGTTGGCATGGTTACCATCTTGAGCTGGAGTAGCCGCCTGTCCACAAATTATTAATGTCACCCAGATAGGATTTTAACTTTTTCTCCCACTGTAGGCCACCTGCAGTCAAGGTGACCTTACCGACCCAGTCAATGATAATAAAACCACCAGCAATAACACAGACAGACAGCAGCTCTTGTTTTTTAATCACTTACCCTCTGCCTGATTTGAGGATGAACACTTTACTCTCATATTATCTCCCCACATCCTCACTTGGAAGGAGGCTGTTAGCCCCACTATATGGATGAGGAAACTGAGGCCTAGAAGAGTCGGATTCTTGCAGTCATCTGAAGCCTTCCCCACTCAACTCCATTTTGCACTATCTACTTTGACCCCAATATCCTTTTGCTGACACCAAATCTCACCCCTTGCTTAACTAGGAGCATCCTGAGCGCAGAGATTTCAGGATCATCTAGAACCTTCCAACCCTCTTTCAAAGCCCGCCTTGGAAGCAAACCAGCACCCAAGGCAGCTTTTGGCATTAAGAAGTGCGAAAATGTCCTGTTAGCTGCAATCTGTGAGCTGGTTCTATGAGCTGGTGGAGCTCAGAGCCCCAGTCCCAGCGCCCGCCCCCCACCAGCTTGTTCAGAGGAGCTCAGCTCTGGGGGAGAAGGCAAAGCCAACACCTATTGAGTTGCAGTTAAAATGAGGGCGAAAGAGGCTTTTGTTTCAGTTCTGCAGATGGTCTGGGAGCTTGTGTTTCTTAGCAAGAATTTTCTAGATCTTTTGGCTTGAACCATCTGAATAACTGCCTCAAGCTTTCACATGGTTCCCACTGGGTGGGCTGGGGTGGGAGGGGCTGTTGTGCATAGTCCGGGAAAGCTGGAGAAGGCTGTTCCTTCGCCCCGAGCCTTGGATTTCTTATCTGTGAAATGAGAGGCTGCAATGATGAATGGCAAAGTACCTTTTTTTTTTTTTCAGCTCTGAGTGTCTAGGATATTTCACCATTGGAAGACCAGCAGACAATGTCATGACAAATGACAACTCAAGAGGATACAACAGGGTTGCTTCAAAAGACAAGTGTTTGGACCATGTCAAGACCTGGAGTGAAGAAGGTAATGAACTCCTACTTCATAGCAAGCAGGCCATGGGCCAGCAGTTTGCTACTGTGCTGTCTCTTGGTTAAGGCAAGGTCAGTATTATTGTTTTGATTTTACAGATGAGGAAACTGAGTCCCAGGGAGGTTAAGTGTCTTGCCCAGCTACAGCACAGAGAGCAGGGGCTCTGCTCCATCTTCACCGTTCTTCCCACCACTGCCCCTGACCTGCAGAGAGCCTGAGAACATTCTTTTAGCTGTTGAGCTATCAGCATAACTGTCATCAGCTGCTGCTGAAACTGTACCCTGGGAAGCAAGGGAGAGGGTCGCTGAATTTTCACCATGGTTCTCTGCCAGGCAACTATGCTAAAAAACATCTTTTTCTCCCCAGTATGTTAGTAGGAGGCAAGCAGATTGTTATAGCCTTCTGTCTTCTTGTAGATAATGGTGGCAGGCTGGCCCCGACTCAGGAGATAAAGAGATCTGAGAGGACCATAGCCACATGAGAACGCCGACTCCTGTAGGAGGCTGGCTGGCCTCTGCAGAGACAGCACTGAGCTGCCCCTGGGGTCGTGGGTAGGACCCATTCCCTCTTTAAAGATACAAACTCCTCTACCTGGCCTTTCATAACCTGCCCCTGGCCCATCTTCTCAAGGTCATCACCCACTTCCTGGACACATTAGGCCCACCAGGTTCCCAGACTCTGCCCATGAGTTTCCAGAATGTTCTTTCCCATCCCTCCACCTCATTCTCTGCTTCTTACACTCCTTTAATACCCACTGAAATCTTAGCTCCTCTAAAGAGGAGGTAAGTTTCTCCAACTTAGAAGTGCTCTCGCCTTCCACCTACTCCCACTGTGACTCTGGTATCCATTGTCTGCCTAGAGTGACGCTGGTAGGAATGTCTGTGGCTTGCTACTGGGCATCAAGCACTATGTTTTGTCATTTAATGTAGTATAAGGTCTCATGTAATCCTCATGGGAGCTATTCCTCTTACACCCATTAAACAGATGGAAAAATTAAAGCTCAGGGAGGCATCCTCTTACCCAAAGTCACGCTGCTATTAAATGAAGAATTAGGATTTGAACCCAGGTCTTTCTGACTATAAGGTTCACACTCTTTGTTACCTACATCTTCTGCTTCCCACTTCCTTAGGAGACAGCCCTGTCCTTTGTAATAGACTGTAAACACTGGAGGATGGGGCCTGTGTTTCATTCACCATCTGAGCCCCTGGGATGCCTGGCTGAGTGTCCTGGATCCAGGCACTGCTCCATGAATGCTAAATTGAATTCAGTTACACCTTCTGCGTATTACAAAACTCCCATCACCAGAGCCCCCTTTGTGAGTGGCCAAGATCTTTTGTCCTCTCCCCTTCCACCCCAGGAAGGGGAACACCTGAAATCAGCTGACAGCTAACATTAAGTGACAGCTGAGTGAAAGGCAAGAAAAGGGAGGGAGCAAGGGGGAAGGCAGGCAGGATTGCAGGAGCCAGGAGGGAGCCCAGAGAAGGAGGAGGGCTGTCCTGTTGAATCTGGCCAGCTTGCAGCTATTCAGAGTACAAGATATGGAGTTACCAGACCCAGCCTCAAATCTAGCTCTTCTATAGTAGCTGGGGAAACCCAGGCAAGTTGTTGGACCTCTCTGAGTTTCAGTTTTCTTTTCCATAAAATGGGCATGTCGGAGGCGGGGTGGAGGGGGGTGGGGGAGAATAAAAAGGGCATGTCACTGTCCTCGCTAGACCTCTTCATTCAGGAGGAATGAGGCTGTGTCTGAGGGGAGGGAGGGAGTGCTGACTACTGGGCTGTTACCTACTTTAAATGGGGACAGTTGGAGGACCAGCTTAACCTGAAATGGCTTCCCCATGAAGTCATTGAGCCCTGAAGGCCTGGGGCAGCAGGGAACTCACAGAATCACAGGCCCATAATAAAGATGTTGGAGACAATTCAGTTTGGCTTTCTTACTCCAAGAGGCAGCACAGCATGGTGGACTGATGGCCAGCTCTGCCAGCAACGGGCTATCCCCAAATCCTGGCCCCCACTTGGTAATTGTGTAGCCTTGTGCATGCCACTTTGTCCATCTCAGACCACTGGTTCCTTATTTTATTTTATTTTTTTTTGAGACAGTGTTTCGCATGTTGCCCAAGCTGGAGTACAGTGGCGTGATTTCAGCTCACTGCAAACTCCGCCTCCCAGATTCAAGCAATTCTCTTGCCCCAGCCTCCTGAGTAGCTGGGATTACAGGCATGTACCACCATGCCCGGCTAATTTTTGTATTTTTTGTACGGACGTGGTCTCACTGTGTTGGCTAGGTTGGTCTCGAACTCCTGACCTCAAGTGATCCGCCTGTCTCAGCCTCCCAAAGTGCTGGGATTACAGGCATGAGCCATCGCGCCTGTCCTGGTTCTTCATCTTTAATATGGAATTTAAAGTAGTTCCTTTGCCACAGCACTACTGGGAAGATCAGAGACCCAGACAATAACAGCTGGTCATTCAGTTGGCCCTGTGGGAACTAAGGCTCAGAAAGGGAAAGTAATTCACCCACAGTCACACAGCAGGTTAGTGAAATCAAGCCTATGCCCAGGCCTCCCAAAGCCCAACCCTGGGCTAAGCATCAGACAGCTGTGGCCTTACCGCAAAGAAGGCTGAGACTACCCTTGGACATGCAGCCAAGGAACTCATACTGGGAAGCACTAGTGGGATTCTGTGTCTCACTGAGCTGAAATAATTGCTTGGGTTGCCTGTGGATAGAGTATGGCAAAAAGCCCAAGTCAGAGCCTATGGTCACATGTCCAACTTGGGGTCTAATCCACAGTATATCCCTGGCCATGTCGGGTCACCTCTCTGACCTATCTGAGCCTCAGTAGTTTCTCTGCTTACAAAATGAGGGCAAGAATTCCTGGCAATGCAAAGGAATCATATAAAACACAGACTATTTCTTTTCTTTTCTTTTTTTCTCTTTCCCTTTCCCTCTCTCTTTCTTTCTTTCTCTCTTTCTTTCCTTCCATCCTTCCTTCCCCTTCTTTCCTTCCTTTTTTTTTTTTTTTTAGACTAGGTCTTCCTGTGTCACCCAGGCTGAGTGCAATGGCGCAATCCTGGCTCACTGCAGCCTTGACCTCCTGGACTCAAGTGATCCTCCCACTTCAGCCTCCCAAGTAGTTGGGACTGACTACAGGTGTGCACCACTACACCTGGCTAATTTTCTATTTTTTATAGAGACAGGGTCTCAATATGTTGCCCTGGCTGGTATTGAACTCCTGGATGCAAGCGATCCTCTCGCCTCAGCCTCCCAAAGTGCTGGGATTACAGGTGTGAGCCACCATGCGTGGCCCAGAGCTATTTTCACAGCAGTTACCCCTGAGCCACTGGGCACCTCACTGTGCTGTTGCTAGCAACGGCTTCATTTGGTCCTCACAACAACCCTGCGTGGTGGGAACCTAATTTGTAGATAAATGGCTAGGAACAGGTAGAACCAGGATCCGAGCTCAAAAGGTATTCTCTATGTCTGTTCTCTCACCCCTCCTCTTTCCCTACCTAACTTGGGCTCCTTCTTCAGGTTTCAGTATCACCCTGACTTCTTTTGGAAGGATCCCTTGGCCTCAGGCTGGAGTGGGAACCTGCCCTAGCCCACAGAGCTGGGTTTCTCCCTTTCTTCAACCACATAGGGAGCACCACTATGCAAAGACCTCATCACATTCACAGCCGTCTCCCCAGAGCCTCGCACTGTGCTTGGCATACAGCAGGTGCCCAGTAAATACCTGCCAAATGACTGAATGCATCTCGCCAGCCTCAGGATGCCACCAGGCCCTGAGGGAGACAGGAAGATCAGAGGAAAGCTTTTGGATTCCTGCCACGCCTCACATTAGCAGCATCTTCTCCGAGTCCTGACAGCCAGCCTCCTGGGACACCATTTGAGCCAGCTGAATTCCGGTCACCGCTTCACCTTGGAAAGGCATCCGCAGCCCTCACCAAGCAGCCCCGTAATTGACGTCACAGCGGGGCCAGGAGCTGCCCTGTTAATATTTTATGTGGCCTTCACTGCGGCAAAATGCAGCCTCCAAGAGCTGGAGGGGCCGTGCAGAGTCTCCGTGGGGTTGTGAGGAGGGCACAAATGGGAAAGGGCTTCATAAATCATAAAGCTCCCAACAGATGAGCATCATTGACCCATTTCAGTCCCTGGCTTAACTCAGAAAGAGCCGGGGCTGCACATGCCTGCAGTGGAACAAGAAGACTGCTGACCGAGCCCGAGCACTAAATCAATGGGGGATTAGGGGCTCCTGGGTACATTTCATGGAGACAGGGGGAGGGCAGAGCACTGGTGCCAGCCAGACCTGGACTCCACTCCAGGTTTGCCCCCTGCACAGCTGTGTGACTGGGTCGGCAAATGGACCACTGAGCCTCAGTCCCCCTTATCTGTGAAATGGGGATGATGGTTTCCTCGTAGCACTGCTGTGAGGATTCAGTAAAACGAGTGATGCTGAAGACCTAGCTTCACACATCGCAGGCTGTCAACACAGGCTGAGACCCTTCTCCAAAACCAAGCCTGGCACCTGAGGTTGGAGAGAGGAGATGCGGGGCCCTTTCAGGCATTCATCGGGCAGAGTGATGGCGGGAGGGAAGAAGGAGCAAGGAGGCACAGGAAGGATGATCTGGGAGCCAGGCATCTCAGATTTGGACTTTTCACCCTGGTGGGCCCATGCCAGGAGAGGTATCAGAGAGAGGATGGGCGGGGGGCCCCAGGATGGGCGGAGGGCCCCGGAAGCAGAAGCAGAAGGGCCCTCATGGACAATCTCTCTGATCCTCTGGCCCCTTCGGCAGATGAGCATCCGGGAGGGAGCAAACCATGCCGGTGGCTCACACAGCAGAGCTGGGGGTCTCACTGGCCTGCAGCCCTCTGGGGCTTCATTAGCTGGGGTTTATCCAAGGCCACATGCCTAGCTGGGGAGGCAGATGTGTTGGAAGACATGATGCAATGGCCCCATTCCTGGTGGTGACCTCCACTTCTTTGGCCTGGACAATAGGAGGAACCTCATCCCCCGCCCCTTCCTGGTCTCTCTCCAGTCTATTTTCCCATGAATCCTGGGAGCTTCCCAAAATGTAAATCTGACCTTGTCCTCACCCTGCTTAAAACCTTTCCATGATCCCACACTTAAGGTCTCCAGAGAAAATACAGGAGGCTCAGTTAAAACTGAATTTCAAGCTGGGTATGGTGGCACACACCCATAGTGCTACTCAGCAGGCTGAGGCAGGAAGATCGCTTGAGGCCAGGAGTTTGAGGCCAGCCTGGGCAACATAGTGTAACCCTGTCTTTAAAAAAAAAAAAAAAAAAAACCTTCAGATAAACAATGAATAATATTTTAGTATAAGAATGTCCCAGATATTGCATACACATGCTACAGAAATTATTTGTTGTTCATATGAAATCCAAATTTAACAGGACAACCTATATTTTAATTTGCTAAATCTGGTGTTCCTACATACATTGCCCTCAGGAAAAAGGACAAAGCCTTTTTTTTTTTCTTTCTCTTTGAGATGGAATCTCAAAAGCCTGTCACCCAGGCTGGAGTGCAGTGGCACCATCTCGGCTCACTGCAAGCTCCGCCTCCCAGGTTTAAGCATTTCTCCTGCCTCAGCCTCCTGAGTAGCTGAGACTACAGACGCACACCACCATGCCCAACTAATGTTTGTATTTATAGTAGACAAAGAATTTCACCATGTTGGCCAGGCTGGTCTCAAACTCCTGGCCTCAAGTGATCTGCCTGCCTTGGCCTCCCAAAGTGCTGGGATTACAGGTGTGAGCCACCACACCTGGCCAGGATAAAGGATGAAGTCTTTAGTTAGCCCATGAGACCAGTTTGGCCCTGAGCTCATCCCTCCGCTCTCTTCCATATGGACCCTCTGCTTCAGACACAGCTTGTTGCCTTTACTTGAGAAACTCAAGCCCTCCTCCCCCTCTCTGTCCTTTGCAGATGTCCTTTCATTGGAACCCTCTTGGTATCATCTCCTCCCAGTGCCCCACAGTGCTTGACCTGACTCATCCTCAGGCCTCTGAAGCATCATCACTTCCTTTCGAGGCCTGTGTTGTATCTGCTCTGTGTGGAGGAGTGCCTCTCTCTGTCTGTCCTGTTCACGTGAGGTACGGCAGGGGTTCCGCAAACATTTGTTGCAGTGAATTACTAAATTCCACAGCCCCTTACACTTTTCCTATCAACAGTTTCCCCTCCTTCAGCCAAATCCTGTGTGCCCCTCAAAGCCCTGTTGGAACCCTATCTCCTCCAGGCCTTCCCTGAGCCCCATAGACTTCCCTGTGGGGAGGACTCCCTCAGAAGCTCTTTTCTTCTGAGATGCATCTGGTATGTCTCAGTCACATCTGGGGCAGCAAACAATCTTTTTATCCCATAAGCTTGGCAAGATCAGCAACCCTCAGACTCCCCTGCTATGACCTGTGGTGGTGAGCACTGTGTCTTCCTGACAGACAGTGCTTCTCAACAAACGCTGGTGAGCTTGGGGGAAGCCAAGCTGAGCTCCTGTATTGGCCTCTCCTCCCTGCCACTGGCCAATAACCAAAATCCTAACCCAGCCCTGAAGCAAAGCATCTTACATCCTGTATTCCTATAAAGGAGGAAGGGAGACATCCTTAGTTCCCACTTTATAGGACAGGAAACTAAGGGAGTAGAGGAACCCATTTGTATTAGGGTTTTCTAGAGGGACATAATTACTGGCATGTATATATGTGTATATATATGTGTATATATGTGTATATATGTATATGTGTGTGTATATGTATGTGTATGTATATGTATATGTATATATAAAGGGGAGTTTATTACGTATTAACTCACACGATCACAAGGTCCCACGATAGGCCGTCTGCAGGGTGAGGAGCAAGGAGAGCCAGTCCAAGCTTCAAAACTGAAGAACTTGGAGTCCGATGTTTGAGGGCAGGAAGCATCCAGCACAGGAGAAAGATGTAGGCTGGGAGGCTAGACCAGTCTCTCGTTTACATTTTTTCTGTCTGTTTATATTCTAGCAGCTGATTAGATGGTGCTCACCCAGGTTAAAGATGGGTCTGCCTTTCCCAGCCCACTGAGTCAAATGTTAATATCCTTTGGCAACACTCTCACAGACACACCCAGGATCAATACTTTGTATCCTTCAGTCCAATCAAGTTGACAGTCAGTATCAACCATCACACCATTGTTCAAGGCTCAGGTCTCTGGATGCCATCCTACCCCAGGGTCTTTGCACCTGCTCTTCCTCTGCCTGGAACACTCTTCCCAGAGATCTTGACATGGATGATGTCGCAGATTAAAGATGGCCACATAGGCCAGGTGTGGTGGCTGACACCTGTAATCCTAGCACTTTGGGAGGCCAAGGCAGGAGGACAGCCCCAGGCAGAGCTCAAAACCAGTCTGAGCAGCATAGTGAGACCCCATTGCTACAAAAAAAAATAAGAAAAAAGTAGCCAGGCAGGGTGGCACACTCCTGTAGTCCCAGCTACTCAGGAGGCTCAGGTGGGAGGATTGCTTGAGCTGAGGAGTTTGAGGATGCAGTGAACTATGATTGTGTTGCTACAGTTCTGCCTGGGCAACAGAGCAAGACCCTATCTCTACACAAAAACAGTTTTTTAATTAACTCGGTGTTGTGGTGCATGCTTACTCAGGAGGTCAAGGCAGGAGGACTGTTTGAGCCTGGGAGCTTGAGGATGCAGTGAGCTATGATCGTGCCACTGCACTCCAGCGTGGGAAATGGAGTGAGACCCTGTCTCAAAAAATTTAAAAAAAAAAGATTTCATACTAATCACAACTTTGGTACACTTCAAAATCATTTTTGTTACTATCTGCAATGTAGATTATGTCTCTTTTCATATAAAATATAATATACATTTATAAATTTATAAAATACAAAGATGGAGTTTCACCATGTTGGCCAGGCTGGTCTTGAACTCCTGGCCTCAAATGATCTGCCCACCCTGGCCTCCCAAAGTTCTGGGATTACAGGTGTGAGCCACCACACCCGGCTGATCATGTCCCATAAGTAAGGCCACAAATATTTTGCTGCTACCGCCACATCAAGAAGTGGCATCCCCTTTACCTGCCCTTTGAATCTGGGCAGGCTTGTGACTTGCTCTGACAACAGAATGTGGCAGAAGTGACCCTTTATGAGTTCAGGAGCCTAGGCCTCAAGAGACCTTGCAAGCTTGTGCCTTCCCCCTCTTGGAATGCTGCTCCTAGACCACCACATAAGGCAGCTGGTCTACCAGCTGGAGGATAGGAGGCCATGTGATAGGGATCTGAGACACCCTGGCCAACAGCCAGCGCCAGCCACCAGATGTGTGAGCGAGGCCTTCTTGGACCTTCCAGCTCAGCTGTGACTCCAACTGAATGCAGCTGCAAGTATGACCAGGAGAAACGGGTAGAGGAACCACTCAGGCCAACCAGACTCATGAAAATGGTTGTTGTAAGCCACTAAGTTTGGGGGTTTGTTAGGCGGCTATAGATAACCAAGACAACTGCCTCCTCATTCAGGTGCCTGCTCCCTTTCCCTTCAGTCCCTTCCCTCCCCGCTCAAACCCCTGCCAATTGCTGTTTATGCCATTATCCTGTTTCATCCTGTCCAAGGCATTTATCACTGTCTGAAACCATGATGTATTCACTTATGGACCTGCAGTGCATTTCCGCCACGAGGCTGCAATTTCCATGAGGGCAGGGGCCAGAATGGTTTGTTCCCTGCCATCTCCCTCGAGCCTGTGTGTGTGGTGTCTGGCACAGAGAAGCTGCTGTAATTGTTGATAGAGAGATCGTGTGCCTGCCCCTTGCTGCTGTGGTGCCTGGGGGAGCAGCGTGGCAGGTGAGAGCTCCTGCCTGGTCGTGTCTTCCAAAACCGGTGCCCTTGGGAGGGCAGGAGGGCAGGCCGGGTGGCTGGGTTGTTTCAGGGGCAAAAGCTTCAGGGAGCCCAAGTTGAATAGAAAGAAAAGGAAACTGCCAAAATGTTCCTTTTCAGCAGGGGCTTAGATTCAGGCCAAGGAAGTTACTAGGGCTTCTCTCCTCCAGGTCAGCTGCGAATTGCCAGCAGCCCAGCCACGCCCTTCTGCAAGATCACCAAGCTGAGAAACTGGGCAATGGGAGGGAGTGTTGGGGACACTAAGTCACTTCCCACGGGCCAACTATTTCCAAGTCCCTCAGAGTCCTCAGAGTCTGCTTTTTCCAGTGCCAAGGAATTGGTCCAGCAGCCACAGCTTCAGTTGAGGAAAAAATACATACCCAAGAGAAAAAGAATCAGCTCCTGGGTGCCTTCTTTTTCTCCTTTTTTTTTTTCTTTTTTTATTTTTTTGAAACGAAGTCTCGCTCCGTTACCCAGGCTTGAGTTCAGTCGCGCGATCTTGGCTCACTGCAATCTCCACCTCCCAGGTTCAAGTGATTCTCCTGCCTCAGCCTCCAGAGCAGCTGGAATTACAGGCACGTGACACCACTCCTGGCTAATTTTTGTATTTTTAGTAGAGACGGGGTTTCACCATGTTGCTCAGGCTGGTCTCCAACTCCTGACCTTGTGATCCACCTGCCTCGGCCTCCCAAAGTGCTGGGATAACAGGTATGATCCGGGTACCTCTTTAAGCTACCATTCTGCATTCTGTAGGAGCAGAGAGAGCATCACCATGGTTCAAGCCAGGCTACTTTCAAGTTAGGTGGACTTGTGTTGGTATTACGTCTCCATGACTGTGTGACCTTGGGGATGTGACTTGACCTTCCTGAGCACCAGTTTCTGCATCTATTAGGATTGGACAGTGAAGGCCAAACTCCTAAGGTTGTGATGAGAATTTAATGAGAGCATGCATGCCCAGCACAACTTCGCGCACACGGAAACAGTAAAACCGAATGTAGGTAAGCTTATGAGTACTTCTTCACCTGTTGGCACATGGGGGTTGAGGGGAAGAGCAAGGTTTGCAGTTAAATGCAGACCCTTCCTGGAGACCAGGGCCACATTTAGGGGTTGCCTGGCCGAGACTAGGACTATGGTATGAATCCTTGGTCCACAATAGACTGCCTGATTCTAACTGGCTTCTCTAACAGATGAGATGACCACTCAGAGAAGCCCTCAGAGGGCCTCCAATCCTCCTGGAACCCCACTGGTATAGATAGGTCAGTGGTTTGGAGGTAGAGCCCTGACAAGGATTCAGAAGGCCTGGGTTAAAGGCCCAGCTCTGGCACTAATGTGCTGTGTGACATGGAACAAATCATTTGCCCTCTCCGGGCTCTAGTGTCCTCATCTATAAAATGGGTCATTCATCTCTGACTTACCGAACTCATAGGGTTGTTGAG